CTGCGACATAATTCTCAGTGATGCGCAAGCATAACAGGCAGTATGTCACTTATATAATTGTCATCTCTGCAGTCTATTAATCTTTGCACTTTTATAAGTAATACAGAACGTAGTTGCTAGACGGTGTTGACATCGGCTAAAATCTCTGCGATCGCCGTTTCGTCAAGGTCATTCAGGCTAGTTAAAGCCTTAATAGAACTAATTAAACAAGCCATGCATGAATCCACACCATCCAATCAGTCTTCTAATCGAAATGTTAACATCAACTTGCATTCTTTTAAAAGAATTTTTAAAAAAATCTCTACCTTGGTGGAATTTAAAATGCAAAGAGGCAGTATTAAATTGTAAAAATGCATATTTAGTATTTAAGAATGATCCCACAGAACGAAATTATATTAATTTTAAGACTACAAGCTGTTAAAAAAATTACTTTGAAGACTGAAAGACAGCTTAGCTGGAGAAAAACTATGTGAAACTTTTAATAGATCTACTCCATTGACTAGAGTATGGAATTACATTAAAAAGTTTAACAAAACTTTTGTTGATAATAACACATCTGTCATAGATTCTAATTGGGCTAATGAATTTTTGAAAAAATATACTCCAGAAACAGATGAAACACCTCTAACCCCTCACTCCTCAAATGGTAATCATTGTGATTATCTTACCAAACCTTTTACCTTGACCGAATTCAATTCAGCTGTTAACTCTAGAAAAGACACTACTTGTGGTTTAGATTCTGTTCCATATAAAGCTTTAAAAATTATGAATACTGTGTAGAGAACCAGTTTTGAAAATATATAATATGTGATGGTTTCATTCACTTATTCCTAACGATAGGAAAGAAGATTGTTTGATAACCATTTTAAAGCCTGGAAAAAAACCTCACATTGCAGAATCTTATAGACCTATAGCACTTACATCTTGTATGGGTAAAATATTTGAGCAACTTATAAAATCTAGATTAGAATTTTATCTAGAAAAAAATTGTCTTTTTCCATCAAATCAGTTTGGATTGAGACGCCGTAAGTCATCTAGAGAAATTATTGCATTTCTACATTTAGACATCTTTAAAGCTATGGAAAATAAAGAAGTATTTAGTATATTGTTTGATATTGTTGGTGCATTTAATAACGTTAATCTTCACGTACTCGCCGCAGAGTTGAGGTCTTTGGCTATTCCTGAAAAAATTGTAAAATGGATATTTAACTTTTTACATGAAAGAAGAGTTTTTGCTAAAGTTAATAATAATAATACAATTATTGGTCCTAGGCTCAGTTATAAAGGTGTTTGTCAAGGAGGAATATTAAGTCCTCTTATCTTTCTTTTATACATATTTAAATTAAACAATATTTTAGGATCAAATGTTACTAATTTACAATATGCAGATGATTTGGTCATATTGGTAACCACTTTAAATGAGGCTTTAAAGAAATTGCACATTTACTTTTCATACTTAAATTTAGATATTAGTACTGAGAAAAGTAAAGTCGTAATATTTATGAAATTCGTCCATTTAACACTAGAATAATTTATAATAATACATTTTTACCAATAGAAAGTTGTGCAAAATTCTTTGGTGTAATTTTTACAAATAATTTATCTTGGACCAAATACATGAATTCTATTTCAGACAGAGCTTCTAAGGCCTTTAATGTATTAAAAGCTTTGGCTAGTACTAACTGGGGAGCTTATCCAGAAATATTATTAATGTTATATAAGACTTTGGCTTCCTTTGTTTTGCATCAAATAAAAAACTAGTAAACAAATTAGATAATATACAAAATAAGAATTTAAGACTTATTACCGGCTCTATGAGAACAACTCCTATTGTTTCTTTACAGGCTGAATATCTTACTCCTCCTATCTTATTTAGGTTTATATATCTGAAATTTAGGTTTTTATTAAATATTTATTCTTTGTCTCATCATCCTCTTTTCCAAAAAGTATTATTTTACTATAATAGTATGTCTCCTATATCTAACTCAGCCCCATATATACTCCATGACTTTCATGAAGTGATACGATATGATGAACAATATAATATTCACAAAAGCACACATACTTGGACTTGTTATGAGGGGAATTATGAAAGTAAATTCAGTGATATACACATAAATATTGATGAAAAATTGAAAAGAAAAGACAAATTTACACAGATGGTTCAAAAGTTGAAAATAAAGTAGCCTGTGCATTTTACATACCTCATCTGAAAACTGGACGTGGCCTTTCCATTCCTGCATTAGCAAGCATATACACTGCAGAATGTTATGCTGTCTTAATCGCTCTTAAATATATAGAAGAACACCCACATGTATCTAATAAATGGTTACTGATCTCTGATAGCATGAGTGTCTTGAAGGCACTGAAGGCAAGAACTTTAGATGCTAAAACGTCTTTCATCATATATGAAATCAACAGTTTGTGGTGGAAATTGAAAGAAAATAATTTGGAAGTAAAATTTTTATGGACTCCGTCACATATTGGGGTTCAAGGAAATGAAAGAGCAGACCATTTAGCTAAAAGTATACTTACAGCTGATATTGACAGGATAATCGATGTTGCAATACCACATACAGATTTATATTCAATTTTAAAGCAAGAGTTAAAAGTAGAATGGAAAATGCAATGGAATGTTGTTTTAGAGGCAGGAAAAGGTCGTTGGTATTCATCAATTAATTCAGAATTAAGTGTTCCTTGGTTTTCTCGCAACCATATGCGAAGATATCATAGCAGAAAATTTTACACAATAATGTGCAGACTTAGATTTGGCCACTATCGACTGAACGCTCATCTCTCCAGGATGAGAATAGTAGCATCTGCAACATGCAATTTCTGCGATACAGAAGCAGATCAGACTGCAGAACATATAATATTTAACTGCCCAGTGTACGCCATAGAAAGAATGCTACTCATTGAAAAACTTATACATGTTTATGAAAACTCAGAAAGCGTCCCGCGTGCCCTGCAAGATGTTCTTAGGAATACTAAGACATATTTAGCACTTTGCAATATTATTCATAATACTGTAAAAGAAATATGAAATATGGTATCCCTGTTTTTAAAAATATTGGATTGACAAATCTACATAATAATAATAATAAATAAATAATTTATTGCTTTAAAGGAAGTAGTAAGTTGTTACAATATTGTTGTGTACTCTCTTTTAGGTAAATAGATACCTGTAGTAGAGGAACCCGCTCTTCCGTAGTACAATTATATTACTACATTAAATTATAATTAAAATAAAAAAAAAATCTACACAATTTAAAACATGCAGTAAGGTATAATTAATAATATTTGTGTAATTGTGTGCAAGAATGTTTGTGTGTGTGAGAGTGAGTGAATGAGTGTGTGTGTGTGTGTGTGTCTATGTATGTATGGATGACTGTGAGAAGTCTATAATTGTGAAAATTTATAAGGCACTGTTTTCTAGAAGGGATTCAGTTTACTACGGTTTTTTTACAGTTATGGTAATTCATAGGATAAATATTGATTTTTTGGTTTATTTTATTATATAAGTAAATTGAAAGTCTTGTATACTGTCTTGATGCAAACGTAGTCTTAAATGAATCTTCGTAGGGTACTGTATATTTTCTACGTCTAGTCGTTGATGACGGTTGATATTTTAGGGAACTATGAAGTTTTAAAACGGTTGCTAAAATGTAAAGTTTTCTTACCGAAAGTAAATTACTCAATTCATAGAGTTCAGTTGTAGAGAATCTATAGGGCTTTAAGAACATAACTTTAATTAAGCACCGTTGAGCTCTTTCAAGCTCAAGGAACCTGGTTTTTGCTGCACCACACCATATAGGAATACAGTAGCCTACCGTTGACTGAACCAGAGCTATGTATATTTTATTAAGTAAGGACTTCGTGGAGACATGTCGTAGTGACTTAAATATCCAAATAAGTTTCCTGAGCCGAGTTGCCATTAATTCTAGGTATGAATACCAAGACAGTCTTTGGTCAACCATTACTCCTAGATACTTTATATTTGAGACTTTATTTATTTGAGAGCAGTTACAACTAGAGCTTTGGACGACAGAGCATTCGTGAATTTTAATTTGAAAATCAGGTGTAGGTTGAGTGCTGTTGTACATGGTAAAGCAAATATATTTAGTTTTGGATATATTCAAAGTGAGTAAATTCTGATTGAGCCAATTCACCATCCTAGCAAGACCTAATTCTGCTGTTTTCCTTACAGAGTCCCATGTATCTTCATGGGCGGCGGTAGTCACTTACCATCAGGTGAGCCGCATGCTCGTTTGCCCCTCTCCTATAAAAAAAAAAAAAACAATAGCTGTGTCATCTGCATAGGAAAAAATCTGCCCATTATAAAGTTTCATATTACACAGTTCATTAATGTATATCAAAAACAGAGTTGGGCCCATCACACTTCCTTGGGGGACTCCATAGTTGACAGTTACACTTTTACTTACAGTTGTTCCAATTTTTACCGACTGTTTTCTGTTTCTAAGGTAGCTACCAAAGAGAGAGAGAGTTTTATCCCTTAAACCAACGTTTTCAGGTCTTTTTAGCATTATGGGTACGGAAACTGTATCAAAAGCTTTCTTTATTGGATTGAAACTTACAAAGAGTATAATATAAAGAAGACTTGGCTTTAGCCTTTACGGGTTTTTGAAAATATGAAGAATTAAAGAAAATAAGACTTGACTATGGCCTTTATGGATTTTGAAGAGATGGAAAGAAGAAAAATAAGACTTGGTTCCGGCCTTTACACTTTAAAATTCTATATATTCAAAATTAAAAAGACGAGGCTGTATGGCTTAGTTCCTTTGCCTTTTCTCTCGAGCGAATAATATTAATAAACAATCAAACGTCCTCTGTCTTTGTCAACTTGTCATGTCTGTCAAAGTGTCGAATAAAAATAGAAAATTACAAAGTAAATTTATCTTTACCGAAAATCATTTCATTCTAGAAACTAGTATATGTTTTAGATAATACGAAAAAAAAACCAATTATTTTAAAATGATAAAATGGAGATATTGACACGATTTGTACCTACAAATCTTTTTAGATATACTGTCTCGAGAATATTAGTAACTAATGTAGCACATTATACAAGGTAATTATAATATTATGTTATTGTTGTCTTGTTGTGCATTTAACATAAACATATATTTTATTTTTATTTTCCGTTTCTAGATTGGCTGAAGTAGGAAAGTTAGAGTTGCCAAAGACAACTGGAAAATATGATACGGGTCAACTAATTCTTCATAAAGTATTTGGATACAGAGGTGTCATTTTGTTTCCATGGTTGGCAAGGGTTTACGACAGGGATGCTACTAACAAAAAGGAATATGCTGAAAGTAGCAGTACTTCGGATGCTTCTGACGATTCCTTATCAAATGTTGGAAAAGAAGTTAAGGGCCGAACTCACACATTTTATCAAGTGCTCATAGATACTAGGGATGCACCTTACATAGTAAGTATTTTAGGATATTTAATTATAAACTTTTACATTGCCGAGATAACCACATCTGGCTTTTATCAATGTCAACAAAGCTATATTAATAAGTGGATGTAGTAGGGTCAATTTAATAAAATAGTGCGATATTGTCCATTGGCTTATTAAAATTAATACAGTGGAGAAAGACTTAGAGAAAATGTTATAGTGAAATACTATAAGAAACAGATTTATATATCAAAAGTTTATTAAAATGTTAGAGAACAAAAATGAACTAATAATTTTGATTATTCTGATAACATATACTCATTATATATTTTTGACTGCCTCGTTGGTCTAGTGGTTGTAGTAGTGCGACTGCTGAACATGAGGTCCCGGGTTTGAATCCTGAGTCCGAAAACCAAGAGACGAAAAAAAATTAGTTATTCAGTTTTTCCATCAAAACATTCTCAGTAGCTACTCAGAGTCAGGAAGCTGGCGGTGTCTCACCCCCGTGCCTCTGAAAGCATGTAAAGCCGTTGGTCCTGCGCCTGATCTCTCTGCGGTTGTGTCAGTTTACTGTCCCATCAGACTATGAAAATGAGGAAATAGAGAGTGTACCTATGCCTGCGCATGCTACTCCTCATTGAGACTGGCCGCCGTGACCGAAATTTGGTCTGGAGGACATTATTGTTCTTAATATGGGAACTACGGATTTTTAAAATGAAAATATAATTTGTTCAGTTATCTGCTTATGCGTGTTTACTTTTTACACTTTTACCTGCAACTTTGCTAAAACAATTAGGCGTATGATAGAAAGCAGCTTCAGCACCCACAACTTATGCGGTACGTGGTGGAGCCACACTGCAACTTTATTATAGTTGTAGTACAAATGGGTCACTTAGACCGGGTTAGGACCACGCTCTCACAGAATATCAGTGTAACATAGCATTTAATGCTGTTGTGTTTCATATGGTGAGTGTAGAGAACCGGAGAACTTTCTTACTGGAAACGAGGCATTTCATCTTAGTCCTCAGGTGTGACAACACATCTGCATTTTAATTCTTAATCGAGGATAAATGTAGATGTCTATGGGCTACAGCATCCACTTATCATCACGTGGACTGTGTGCTCGTTTGTCACTCCTATTCTATAAAAAAACCCACTATAATACAATTGATGTTAAATATTGATTTCGAAAAGTAGCTTTGCTCATTCTAGTGCTTAGTTCATATGATCTGTTTAACACTAACTTTCATTTGTAGTTAATGACAATTATTGGGCTTATACCATGATATTAATAAAGTTGTATAATTTTTTAAATAACTGATATGTGGTTTTAATATATAATATTTTTTATTTTACTGTATTTATGGATATTAAATAAGAATGATTTATTGTTGACTATGCAAACAAACATCGACATGAGGCCAGATTGGAAGAAGAAGGTATTGGCAAAACCAAATTTATTTTATACATGTTGACTCACTTAAAACAATAACTTGGTGACTGCATACTAAGAATAATTGCTATATATTATGTTCTATCTTTGTGAGAAACTGTTGCCTTAGTATTTTTTTTTATTTAAAATAATTCTTAAATACAAAAATTAAAATAATTATTAAATAAAAGATTCCAAAAATATTGAAAAGTTATTATCAGCATTGGGTACTTGACATCACAATTATTAAATACCACCACCATATAACTTGAATTTTCTACTTTTAGTAGTGTCTTAACTTGCTTAATTTTTTAGTAATATAATGACATGATTATTACTAATACAATAAAAATAAAGATTATTTGCCTGTAAATATATCATTAAACTATGTGCTCATACAGTCTCTTGAGATATTTTTGTTTTGGCAACTTCAAAATCATATTTAAATTTAATAACATGTCACATACCCAATTATTAAAGAAAGTCTCACATAGATAAGTCTATTAATATACTTGTTTTACTGCATTGAGTAATAAACATTCATTAGAAGGTAATGAAATTAACCTGTTATTTTGTTATCATAAATGTTTGTAATAATAATTAAATAGAAAACAAAAACATGAGTTCACAATAACTTATGTGTTTATTGGTTCATGGCTTGAATTTAATTGATTCAATCATTATCATGTAATAAGTCACATCACAATGTTGTAACTTTGACATTCTTCATCAAATTCATTGCCTTGTAATTGTTAACTGTTTAACATAGGCTTTCCTTAAGTTTAAAAGAAATTCCATGGTCGTTATACTTGGGATCTGTGATGACATCAATAGTCTTCTGGTTGATGTTATGCTACATTGTTATATTTTAATAACAATAGTGCAAAAAACTATAATCACTACAATCAAACGCAGAAGTAAGCACTCATTTTTACTTTCCTATAGTTTATAAATTAAAAAAGCTATATGTGCATTGTCTTACTGAAGATGCGGTTTAGGCGCCTCGCACAAATTAATTTGTTTATGGTTTTGGTTATTTCACATTTGGCGAATTCTAATACTTTTACTTTGCCATGTATAGAAGACAACTATTTTCTTTCTAGTTAACTTTTAAAATATCCATAAAACAAGAAAGGGTGACCCTTGTTTGCCTTGTACATATTTACTTCTATGATGTTGCTGAGAAATGAAGTTGCATGAAATGATATGATGCTAGATTAGTTTTATGAAACAAATATCCAAAAAATAGACTCATTTTGTCCAATGACGTCATGTTCCATGGGACAAATGGGAATCACACCCTAGTTACCTTCATCATAAAAGCTGACAATGACTACTGTTAGTCTCGTGACTAATGTAGTTCATGCTTGGTGAATGAATAAGAAACATTTCTTTTCGCTGTACTATAAAAGACACTGTTCCAACCTTCTTTTCAACCGGTTTCAAAAAAGGAGGATGTTCTCGATTCGACTGCATTTTTTTAATGTGTATTACCTCAGAACTTTTTTCTACAACTCATACAAATTTGATCAAGATCTCACAAGTAGTTTTTGAGTTATCCTTAATATCATCATCATCATCATCATTACAGCCCTTCACAAGTCCACTGCTGAACATAGGCCTCCCCCAAAGAATGCCACAAAGCACGGTCCTGAGCCACCTGCATCCATCGACTTCCTGCATGTCTTACCAGGTCGTCACTCCATCTCGTGGGGGGACGCCCTACACTTCGCCTACCGGTAAGAGGCCGCCACTCGAGAACCTTTCTTCCCCATCGGTTGTCGGTTCTTCACTGCCACTTCAGCTTACTAATCCGTTGGGCTATGTCGGTTACTCTGGTTCTACTGCGGATATCCTCATTCCTAAGTTTATCACGCAGAGAAACTCCGAGCATAGCCCTCTCCATAGCTCGCTGAGCGTACCTTGAGCTTCCTCATACGGCCAGCAGTGAAGGACCACGTCTCAGTTCCATAAGTCATCACTGGCAACACGCACTGGTTGTACAATTTCGTTTTCAGATTTTGAGGTATGTCTGACGAGAAGATGTGTCGTAGCTTCCCGAACGCTGCCCAGCCGAGTTGAATCCGTCGATTGACCTCTCGGTCGAAGTTGGACTTACCTAGTCGGACTATTTGTCCCAGGTAAACATAATCGTCAACAACTTCGAGCTTAGTGCTCCCAACAACTACCGGCATAGGTGTGACATGGACATTGAACATGATCTTTGTTTTGTCCATGTTCATCTTAAGACCTATCCGTTGGGAAACACTATCGAGGTCATTGAGCATAGTGCTTAGGTCCTCCAGCGATTCTGCCATAAGGACTATATCGTCGGCAAATCGAAGGTGAGTGATGTACTCGCCATTGATGTTGATACCGTATCCTTTCCAGTCCAGAAGCTTGAAAACGTCTTCCAATGCAGCGGTGAAGAGTTTCGGGGATATGACGTAACCCTGTCTTACACCTCTCTGCAATTGGATAGGTTTCGTACTCTGGTTCTGTACTCGGATAGCCATCGTAGCCCTACTGTACAAGCACTTCAACACTTCGATATACCGACAGTCAACTTGGCACCGCTGAAGGGACTGCAGCACCGCCCAAATTTCGACGGAATCAAAGGCTTTCTCATAGTCCACATACGCCAGACATAGTGGCAAATTGTACTCTTCGGACTTCTGTACAATTTGCCGAAGGGTATGTATGTGGTCTATGGTGCTAAAGCCCTTTCGGAAACCGGCTTGTTCGGGAGGCTGGAAGTCGTCAAGTCTGCGCGCGAGACGATTCGTAATGACTCTCGAAAACAGCACGTAGACGCGGCTCAGAAGGGAAATCGGTCTGTAGTTCTTCAAGAAGCTCCGCTGTAATTCCATCCTCGCCTGGGGCCTTACCGTTTTTAAGGTGCTGGAGAGCCATTCTAATCTCGCTCAGACTGACGTCCGGGATATCTTCGGAATAGTGCCGGATGAGACTCGCTCTTGGATCGTTACTCACACTTGCGTTTGGCTCCAACGATGACGTGTACAACTGCCCATAGAACCTCTTAATATCACTCAAAATCTCAGGTGTCCCGGAAACGATGCTGCCACATTCTGTCTTCAGCTTTGACAGTTGGCTCTTTCTGGCAGACAGATCTCTGGCAAAGACTTTGGAGCCTTGGTTCCGCTCGATCGCTTCTTCAATATGAGCTGTATTGAAGTTGCGTAAGTCCCGCCGCATGCATTTGGAGATCTGTCTGTTCAGATGCCTGTATGCTGTCAAGTCTGTTGAAGAATGTTGCTTCATCTCCCGTCTAACAGCCATGAGATTAAGAGTGTGATCGGAGAGTTTTTGTGTTCTTCTGCGGCGAGTCTTGCAGAACTTAGCTCCGACCGCATGGACAGTTTCCACGAGCTTGTCATTCAAATCGTCCACTTCATTGCAGTCTTCTAGGCACTGAAAACGGTTTTGTAACTCGAGCTGAAAGGTTTCGGGACTTTGGATTAGAGCACGAGGGGGACGGAGCGTTGACTTCATTAGACGAGACCTCTCCAACTTAACGTTTAGGTTCAGTGTGCCTCTAACCATTCGGTGATCGCTACCAGTTTTCACCCTCGCGATC